CTTTTATGAGGACCTGATCCAAGCATATGACAAATTGCCAGGGAATGCAATTAAAATAGTATTGGACGACTTAAACGCTAAATGTGGGGAAAAAATGCAGTTCTCCCCTAGTTAGGAAAAGAAACTCTACATGAGACGAGCAATGGGAATGGGATTAGGCTAATAACATTCGCGGCAGGGAAATATATGATAATAAGTAGCACAACGTTACCACATAAGAAAATCTATAAAGGTACACGGAAGTCACCAGATAGTGTAACAATTAACCAGATAGATCACGTTCTCATCCAAAAAAGATTCCGCTCATGCATTAGAGACGTACGTAGTTATAGGGGAGCGGACTGTGACACGGACCATTTTCTAGTCGTAGTGAAATTTAAACTAAAATTATATAGTCAAAAACGGCTGGAGAGCAAAAATAATGTACCTTATAACTTGGAGTGTTTGAAGGATGACAAGATCCAACAAGAATATTCAGTTAAGATGAGAGAATATGTTGAGAATATTGAAGAAGAGGATATAGAGGGAGAATGGAGCAAGATCAGTGAAGCTATTAAAAAAGTTGCAGAACAAGTAATTGGCAGACTAAAAAGTAGGAAGAAAAAATGGTTTAACGAGAAATGCTGGGAAGCGATAGAGAAACGACGTATGGCTCCGGATAACTACGTAAAATGTAACGACGCAACACGAAAATAATATATGAAATAGAGAGAAAAAATTGCAAGAGAATTATACAAAGAGAAAAGAGGAACTTTTTAAACGGTATACTACAGGAAGCTGAAAAAGTCCGTTCGCAAGGTAGTATAAGGGACTTCTTCAGAACCATCAGGCAATATCAATCATTCAACCCAAGCTTGAAAGCTATTAAAAATCGTGATGGAGAAATAATTATGAAACCAGAGCTAAAAGAAGCTATAAGGTGGTACTTTAAAGAACTATTGAATGCGGAGGTACCAGTAAATCCAACAGTAGGTACAACCTTCCAAAGAGCCGAACCAATGTTGAATGAAGTAACTTAAGAAGAAACTGATAAAGCGATAGCTAGCTTAAAAAATTGGAATGCACCTGAGTCGGACAGCATATTTGTTATTGTGGTGTTGCATGCGTTCGTTTGTTTACAGCTCTACGACAACGTGTCCATGTTTTTGTTTTTGTTGTTTTATTATTGTCGTCGTCGTCCGTCAGAAAACGTCATTATATATTGGTTCGCCGTTCGTTTACTTTAGAACTATAACGTTTGTGGTGTAGCTATGTCCGACGCCTGCTAGTATAATGTTTCAACTCTGGGTATCTGTCATGTTGAGCATCAGCGTACCAATCAATGATTCATCAGAAGAACATCAGTGTTCACATCCGCTGTTCTTGAAGGAGCCTGTCGGTGCAACGTTTGGTAGCAGAGCGTGGTTATATCGGCCAGTTATTGGTCAATTAGCAATTCCAAATCTAAAGGTCCAATTAAATATTGTCTTCGAAACAAGAGACGTGTGAGCGACAAATGACTTCTAAGAGATGATCATTTTGATCAGCCACCTATGAACAAATCCAAGGAAATATACAAGTACTAAAGAAAACCCCAAGACAATAAATGGTACTGCAACGAATACATACTACTTTTTATAAAGTTTACTAATATTTGTTGTCTTTAAATATTATAATTTTCACTGTTATACCTTACAAATCACTATGGAGAGTCATAAAGAAAGTAAGTTTTTACTTAAACACTATGAACTAGTAAATATGAACAATCAGAGTCGAAGCCTGGAACCTAAAATGTTACAAAATAATTAAATATATACATTACCGTCGAAGTTATAATTTTCTTCTAGGCGTGGTTCGAGCCTGGTTAACAACTTTAAAATTGGTATTTATAAAACATTATTTTACTTTTTTTTTGGTTAACGAAGTGTCTGTACGCACACCTATATTGAATCGAGAATTTTTTTGACTATGGAATACAGTTTTTTTACAGTCTATAGCCACGGTTAATGCAAGAAATGTTTACGTTTATCCAACAAAGATTCTTCGGTTTAAATTGGTCCACATCATTTATAAATTTAGTAAATCGTGAGATTTTTTATTTTACGGTGGCATTATCGAAAAAATGGTTTAAATCTCGTCGTAATATAAATAAGTTTAACAGATTGTATTCCAAGTGGCTTGACATAGAATTTCAAATGCCTTCAAATGAATCCAAAGATTCCGTTTTAAAAACAGGTCGACGCTCTCTACCATTTCACAAATGTACAGAAATAACTAAACGGCTCAAAATAAAAACACTAACGAGTAATATTGGATTAACATTATCCCGAATTAATATCTCTTTTACTACAGTGTAGTCCAACTATTTAAGGAAGCTACAGTGTATCACCCAAACGTGCGAACAATATTACGTATAAAAAGTCTAATGACATAAAACCCATTACTTATATTGCGGACGAAGCATTAGCTTTTTTTGTTGATAATAATTTTACAAAACAACAATATATCAATAATCGGTTGTCTGCGAAGATAAGAAATGCCAATATATATGTCACATATGATATTATTACATCGGCCAAAAAGAAATGTATCCGGACAATTGCATTATTACAGAAACTCGTGAGGTCAAAATGCAAGATCATACGACCAAAAGATTATTTTTAATTTATGAATTAAATTAGAAGAAAATGTACAGAAAATTTAAAAATATTATATAATGGGGGGATGCGATGGCAGCAGTGGCCAACCTATGTAGAAACAAAAATATAATAATTCTAGTACAGACGTGCCTTGTACAAACACTAATCTCTTTCTTTTTTACATTGTTCCTTTTCAACAATTTTTAACTTCACTAATTGCAAAGTGTTAATATGACAAATATAATTAAATAATAATTATATTATATTATATTTTAATAATAATAAAAATGTAATTTGGAAAAATAATTAATCATCAACTCGTTTTTTCGACCTATTAAGTTTGAGTTTCAAAAAGAAACAACATAAATATAATTCAATGCTATCGAGGAACAAATAAAACAGGTGACTCCGACAAGTATAATAATTAAAAAATAGTTTTTTGTTTCACATAGTTTAATGTTTACCATGGTCGATGGCAAAGTAGATTTTAGTAATTATATAATTATTCTATTTTATCCTAATACTAATATTAATACAAAGTTATGCTGACAAGTTCGTCAAGTCAAAAATGTTTTATTTGTAGATCATCACCTAAACATTTGAACAATATTGACCAGGTGAAAACATACGACGTTAAAAAGGATACATTCACGTTTGGATTGCCTACACTCCATACTTGGATTCGGTTTTTTGAATGCTACTTAACGTTTCTTATCGCTTGGAATTCAAAACATGGATAAATTTCGATAGGTTTGATAAAAACAATTTGGTATTTCTAAAAATTATACTTAATATTTTGTTTTTTACAAAGGTTAAATCACCTGGGCATACAATACAATTTGCTAAAAAAAATATATTCAGGATCGGTTCCGTCCTGTATTAAAATTACTAGACGATGTTGTTTGGTAAGGTAAATATTAATAAATATTATTTATTTTTTACCAAAACTAATGAATTCTTGAAAAACCGGGATGGGCCACATAAATGATAGGAACACCGCTAGGAGATTTTTCAAAAACACAGAAATAACGAGTCTACATTGATCTTTAATAAAACGTTGTGAGACAGTTTTATCTGCAATCGCAAGTGGTTATAATATTAATATAAAGACATTTGATCAATACATATTGGATACTGCAAGGTTATTTGTTTAACTGTAGGTACCCTTGGTATTATATGCCTGCTAGCGTGCATAAAATATTAATACCCATTGGGAACTACCTAGTCATACTAGTGTAACGATCATATTTCACCTGACCGTTACTTCGCGTCCCAAACCTACTGACACAGCACCCCCGACTATAGGTAGGGGAACGGTCGCACACACAGGACAATGCACGTCGCATATCATCTAATTAACCAGTTGACTTTACCATCACGGACCGCCAATATCCTCGACCTTGCGCTCTATATTTTTGTCGTTTTACTACAAGCCGCCCATCCGACTATCTTTTGTGTGCGTCCGTTTCAACTCCGCTTTGACCAACCATTTCATCGTCCAACCCAGGTCAGAGTGTATATATATATATATATATATATTGTATAATTTTGTATTTTATTTAGAAACCCTAATTTAGAATAAAACATCTTGTAGCCTGCAGCTGAGAGTTAGATTATTTAACAGTGTGACCGCCCGTTCTAGCTCCTCGGGCGATATATTAAGTTAATAAGGGAGACTTTAAGGCCAATTAGACGTAGACAACGGCCTAGCCAACCGTTTTCCCGTGGGGATCCGTCTATTTTAGCCTTATCGACGGCCACTTTGCCTAGTCTAGCCAGCTAGACAAGTAGGTCCGTTACAACTTGGTGGAGGCGCCGATTGCCGTTAGTTTTATTTTTTACCTTGGGGGAGAACCCATTTTGCAAGGGAATAAGCTACGGCCACGACCCTATAAAACTGCACTGATTATTTAATTCGCTCTCAGTTTGTGTTAAGGTGTTTTATTTTACGGTACAAATTGCTCTGGAATTTTAAAGTAGATTTTATTTAACTTAAAATACGTTATTTTTTTATTCAATTAAAAATTAATTATGAATATCACTTCACAATGCTTTTCCAGTCGATTGACCGAAGATATTGATGATTACCTAGAAACTTACGATAGGATATCGGCTGCAAACGACTGGAGTGAGGCGCAAAGGCTAATAATGTTTCCGCTATATTTAAGAGAACAAGCGAAAAAGTTGTATAAAAGAATAGAATCTAAAAGCGCAGATTTAAAATGGGCAGATTTGAAAAAGGAATTTTTAGAGTATTATAATTCAGAGGAGCAACGTATACATTTGAGAGAAAATTTGAATAAGAGAGAAAAACGGGAGGAAGAAAGTTTACAGGAGTATATTCTGAATGTAGTTACCGAATGCAGTCGAGTGAACGATACAATGAGTGAAGAGGAGATTACGAAATTAGTATTGAAGGGATTACCAGAGGATGTTTATTGGAAAATATATACATTAGATAATTCGTCAGTAGAGAAAATAACGAAAAATGTAAAGGCGTATGAAGTTGCTAAGGCGATTCGTAAGAACCCTGCAAAGGAGATTGAGTTCTTGAAAAGAGAGATTGAGGTACTTAAAGTTAGCAAAGATAACGATATTAGTGATGAAGTAAGAAGTTTAAGAGAAGAGCTTGAGGAACTTAAAGCTAACATGAATAATAGACCGTTTAAAAGTAATGGTAATTTTAGAAGACATTTTAATAGTTATAGAAATAATGGCAGGAGATCTAATAATAACGGTGAAGGTAAACATTTTAACAAGCGCGATAATAATAATAGAAGTTATCATAATGACGACGCCGCATCCGATAGCAGATATGGACGAAATAGACCTAGGAGTAATTCTGATTATGGTAGTAGTGAGGAAGACGATTTTGATAACCATAGTGAAAACAATTACAACGCGCGTTTTAGGAATAATGATAGACAAGAGAGAAAAAATTATAATACTCCACCCCGAGTAGAAAACATAGGTAGTTGTGTCATTAATAATGAAAACTATAAAGGGAATAACCCAGTAATCATAGGTGTTTTAGGTAATGTATCACATCATTTTACTGTTGACTCAGGCGCGACTACTAGCGTTATTAACGAAAATATGCTTCCCAAAAATCATGTAATTAGTTCTTACGGGGAGACAAAATTATATACAGCCAATGGTTCAAAATTAGATTTAGTTGGCAGGTCAACTGTTAAAGTATATTTTAATAATATTCCTGTAGAAATACAATGCGCGGTCGTACGAAATTTGAATTGTAATAGTCTTCTTGGAGTTGATTTTCTAATTAAATATAAGGGCGTAGTTAACTTTGTTAAGTCAAAAATACAACTTAACGTGAATAATAAGGAAATACACATCGATTTTTTTAAAAATGATGGTAATCGAATTAATATAAATAGGGTTGAAGATAATAACAACAATGGTTATTATATAGCTAATAAGAATGTGAATAATAAAAATAGTAGGATTAGCCAGAATACTAGGATTAATAAAGGTAAAAGGAATTTTAAGAATTGTGTGCATAGTAATCATAGCGCTAATAAGAATATTAAGTTGGGTAACTTTAATTATTATAAATATTATAGACACCCCCGTGGGTTAAATAATAATCATTCTAGGGCTCTATTCAATGGGAAAAATAGGACAACCCATAATTATTATAATGGAACTAGAAATAGGAAGTTTGAATATAACTGTAATAGTTCTACTTTTAATGATCAATCTAGAAAGGGTATTATCAATAGACAGAGACCCAATTATACTAGCAGACCATTTATTACTAACCAGCAACATAACATAGGTAACTTTGACCATAACCTAGGAACTCAAAATTATGTTGAAACTCCAATTCCTCTGTTTTCTTCTGTCTCTTGATGGAAATTCCAAGAGGCAGTATAAGGAAAAGGAAAAATAAATTTCTATTTTTCTTTTGTAAAAGTATAATTTTTTTTTTTTGAGGGAATCATATATATAATTATATTATGCGCGAATATATAAATTATTTACTTCTGTTAGGTAGCGTCTTTAAAAATATAAATATAAATTGTAATTCACATTTCTCACGGTGTGATTACTAGGAATACATCTAGAAAAAAAAAAAAAAACATATTTCCTTGGAGGCAGACAACTGCCGTTGCAGGTTTTATAATTTCAAACTAACTGCTATCCCGTAATTATAAACGTTCGATTGTAAGGCAATGCCTTTTTCTGTTATTGCGTTGTCAGAAATGAATCATGGACATGTCCGAGTCTTATTTTCTGACAATCCTTGGACACCAATCCCCGACTCGCACTTCATATTATTATTTAAATTTGACACGATTATAAAATATTATAATACGATTCGTTGGCCGTTAGAACAGAAATTTAAAACAACGTATTTAAAAGTGATGATCATGATTTTAACGGAGAACAATAATGTAACATGTACAATCTCAGACGGTACCCGAGACGATATATACACATATACACGCACACACCCGTATGTGCCAGTGATCGCAATGTTTTGCTGACGCTGTAATTTCTGGGACAATTTTTATTATAATATTACGTTAGAAGGTTTTAATATTATTTTTCATAATAGTAAATAAATAAGTGATTTTTTTTTTTATTTAGGTTATCAGTCACTACTTCTTCGCCATCGTTTTTTTCCAACACGTTTAGGTCCTTCTAAGGTTTATCCATAGGTATTTGTGTTGGGCGTCCTAGCTTTTGGAGACCAAATCTTCGGTATCCATTTTCGTCAGTTCTCGGATCATTTGATCCTGCACCCTTATACGTGTCTTTCTCAGCCCTATCTTCTGTTAGGCATTAGTGGTACTAAATCTTGCTCTCCTGGTGTATTTCATGGATTTGTGTACCTGTAATGATTTACATGCGAAATCTATATTCCGACGAACGTTCGCACTGCAAGGGCGACTAGCAATTTATCGTTATGAGTGTTTCCCGGCACTGAAAGTGAAGAGATAAACAACAAAGGTTGTATTTTCCGAGTCGTGGGCAAAGGGCAGTGGTGGGGGGGGTGTAAAAAATGTACAAAATCTCGTCTTTTCGAGATTCGCCTGGCATAATGCAATTAGAAAACGTCGTCGGGGGATGAAGTATTATTTTACCCCATTTCTCTGCCTCGACAGAAAGAGAGAGAGTGAGTTGCACAGGAGCCGGGTAGGGTGCGGACACTGCGACCGTCTACCCCACTGCCCCGTCCGGTCGATCTGTGCCGTTTAGTCTGTCTGTGTGTGTGTGTGTGCACTTGCCCAGACCTCGTTCATTACGCCGCTCTTAAATTGAAACCGTTATTCTCAGCGGACGGGAAAAGTGGTGGCGACGACCTGGAGTACTCCGTGTCGGTGTTTAATTTTCCTCATTCTTCTTCTTGTTGCGCCGGCGGTCCTTGTCATTTTTCCCAAAACTAATAGCCCGAGCTCCTGTCGTTTCCAACGGGAGTAAACCCTTTTTCCCAAAAGGTTTTTGGCCCTTCAACGGCGCCGCCACCGTCAACCGAGTTGATCTATTCAAACGTCAGCCGGAACAAAGCTCTGCCATCGCTCTAGTCGAGGTTCGTCGGAAATTCATTATTATTTCAATACATTCAGGTGTCGCGTCCATTTTCGTTTGCGCTCACAGGCGAAGATAACTTCGGCTTATTCGTTAAAAATTTCACATTTTTTACAAAATTCTTCGAACTCCGAAATGGCAACTATAGTTGTATATTTTATTAACTTTAAAAACTACAAATAATTTCCTTAAAACGTCTACTAGCCAATAACCAGCTTTGAATAATTACTTTTTAAGCTATTAAAGTTTAAAATTTAAGACGGGTAAAAGGGGGGAGTGTAGTATTATTTGTGTCCGCTTATATAATACTACCGCACTGCACCTCCCATCCAAAATTTTAAACCCAGCACTTTAAAGTTACTAAAACTTTATTAGTAATTATCCAAAACTGCATTGAAATAAATGGGTGATTTTGTTTAGGTATTTATTCAAATAGTTAAATATTAAAATATGTACCTACAAGTAAAGGAAGACATTTTTTTTCAAAATGAGTGTCTTATGTTATATGGATCGCCCTGTGTACCAAACACAGGTTTGAAGAATCGAGTTGGCTTATAAACATATATTATAGAAACGTTTTTTTACAAATATATTGCCATAGAAATGTAAAACGCGTTCAATTCAAATATTGATTTATCCCAAGTCTCCGATGTCTTAGACATAATACCTAATATATTCAATTAAATCGCTATTTGTCGTTCGTTGTTATCTGTATTTTTTGTCATTTAGCAGCTGTTGTATTTGCTCCGAGCAAGGCGGTTGAAATGGCTAACCCTGATGAAGATGATATGATCAAAAAAGCGATGGAGGAAAATCGGCCCGACCCGAGATTTCCGAACGTCCATACCACACGCTATTGTTACAATCACTACATAGACTATCACAGATGCCGGCATCTGTTGGGCGAAGAGGAACCTAGCTGCGAAATATTCAGGAAAACCTACACGAGAATGTGCCCAAACTCGTGGGTGAATGATTGGGATGAACAGAGAGAACAGGGGATATTCCCAAGGGACTGCAAGACCGAATTGGATTGAAATAAAAAAACCGTTGCACGTGTAACATAAATAATTCCTTTGTCGTTAAATAAAACCCTATTGATAAATTATAACAATAAAGACAACCGGTAATGTGTTACATTCAATGGTATTATCGTCGCTTAAGATGCAACACCTCATTATAATTCAGAGACTGAAACCGAATAGTACCCTTAAAAAATAATACGTAAACCAAAATTTCTGAGTCGGAATCGGAAACTATTACTTCAAGATCCATCCCCCCCCCCGTTGTTTCGACATAAAACCGGTATAGGCCCGGGAGAGGCTATAGTAGTTTTAATGTGACGCAAAACGGTAGGACCAAAACCAGTCTGCCTAGTTAAAAGAAAAATCATTTTTCAGTCGAGTCAGCAACCACGAAAGAACATTTTCATGTCTCTTTGAAGTACCGAAAAAATTTAGAGTAGTGGTGAAGTTATAGATAATGAAATAGTATATTAACAAGCAGTAACAAGCTAGTATCTAAGGTGGCTAGTGATCATATCAAGTTTCTAGCTAATATTTTAGTGTATTCATAATATTTGACCTAAAACAATTTATAGAAATATGACCTCTTAAATTATTGAATTTATTTTTCAGTTCTAATTTGAACGTTGTGAATACAACATATTCCAGTTGTTCATTATGTTGTTATGTCATCATTATTTTAACTTTACATAAATGTATTATATCATATTGGTTTCTTGGGGTAATTGCAGAGTTAATTGTATTGTAAATTATTATATATAAATATATTATATCGTCATTCGAGTTCTAACACGATTTCCCCAATTTTTTTTTATGCTAAATCAAGTTTGCCACGCTAATTTGTTTCAATTTGCGCGTGGGATCGAGCCAGTAGAGTGGCTGGAGCTGTGGCATTCCTATGAAAATATTATGGTATATTATTAAAAAAAAAATATATCAACGGTTGTTAGTGTTGTTTTTGAACGGTTTGCCAATGGTATTACCTTTTAATTTCTGTTCCTGTCACTCGTCGAATTCAATCGTCACACGGCCGGCGCCAGTATGGAGATAATTCAATTATTATTTGCATATTATTTTTACCATTAGGCACTTAGTATTCAACACAAGCGGTCGGCCGGTTGCCGCGAATACCCGCACGTAGAAGATAAACGTGCACGCTTGCATCGAAAATTGCCAAGCAAAAATAATAACGCTATTCTTTCCCCGTTCGAGTAAGTCATGAATTGGCGACAATTATTTCAAACGGTCGGTCGAATGATCAGACAAATATTATCAGCTCACTCTACTAGTGTGTAGCATTTTTTACGTTTTGTATTTTTTAACAAACAAAATCTTAAGACTAGTTATCATTCAAGATAACACGAGATCGGTACCTCTTAAAATAATTGCAATTTCGAAATCTTCCTTTTTGGAGAGGCTATAGTTTATAGTTTTTGACATTTTCATGTCTTAGCTCTGGCACATAACCGAAAAAAGTGAATCGGAATGAGGATGGGGTTGGGGGTGGAAAAGCCGATAGTTCATAATTATTGATATTACAGTAACTGTTGTTATTGCTATGCAGATTATTTTTTTCTCGCTATTTTTCTCTATTTAAAATAAACAAACAAACTGTTTTAATCTAATATCATATTACTCATTATGTAAAATATACAAAAACGATACTCAAGTCATTATTGGGTGGTTTTAAATATTGAAATAATATAAGCAAAGTCGTAAAGTACTCTGAATAATGTTTACTACCAGATCAAAATATGTGATAAAATATATTGTTTACGGTGCGACGGCAATCGGATTAGACTTTTCGAGCCGTGTGGTTAGTTTTTTTATAAAAAAAAAACCCATGATGATTGGATTTAGATTACAAATATTCAATCCGTTTCGATGTGGTAATTTGTTTTCAATTAAAAAAACATGTACATCAGTCGACCTGGAGCTGAGCCAATTTTTTTGTTATTTTCCTATACCGGTATTATTAAAAAAAAAATAACTAGTAAACGGACGAGTCGGTGAAAACACATTTGTTGGCATTGAAATTCTTAGTGGTTGCTAAATAAATTAGAAACTGTTTTTTAATTTTGATGTGATAGCATTTATAACGATGTGTGTATGTTTTGGGTTTTATGTGCCCGAAGTCCTAAATGCAATTTTAGCCGAAATTTCCTTTAAAACGTTTTTCAACCGTTTAACCGATATCTTTGTGCGATCAGTACCGGGAAAAGAAAAACGTTCGCCGAACAGCATCTTATACGACTTCTTAAAGTATTGTAACATTTCTTTATAACCCGGAAATTCCGGAAATACTGAGAATGAGTAAATTCCAAAATGAACGGATTCCCGGAAGTAGTAACTTGTGTAGGAACTTTTTCCTTTTGAAAAGAACAAAAATCTGGAAAGAGTTCGTTTTTCTTTTATGACTAAAATTATAGTTTTAACTTCAACTTCAACTTAATACAAGTACAAAATAACAATTTCAAAAAGTGTAGGTACAATGGTTTTGGTTAATTGATATTTGATTGACTATCGTTTATTAATTAATAATTGGTTGCTATTGAAAAGCTATCATTCACGTAGGTTTATCCAAAAGGAACTTGACTCAAAATATATAGTTAAAGCGTAGCTTGTGGTTGAGATAGAGAGTTACAATAGTAAAGTATGCTTGGTTGTTTAGTAAAATTAAAGAATCAAAATAATTTAAAGGTGACTTATGAAATGGTTGTGGAGTCGTTAGATGGAATCTTAGGTAAAAGTTAGTCGTTTTATATTTACAACCAATAGTTAATCTTGAGAAACGAACACTGGTAGTGTGTACACACGGCGTTGTTGGGCTCGGCTGGTGTTTAGGGCTGGTGGCAAGGAGAAAAACTTCTATATTAATAATGATAATAATATAGTTCACGATTAAAATGGCCGGTGGGTATTTTTCCGTATTATTGTAAATGGTTTGTTATTTCAGCAAATACGAGCCCGGATACCTAACCGCAATAACAATTTCGAACAATCGATGCCAATGTTTACCTTTTGTCGGTAGAAAATAAGTTGCTACTCGGTCGTAAGACACCAAGGGCGGTTATTAAAATAATAATATTACAAATTGTTACGAGAAACCGACGGAGGTCTCGACGTCGACAATATAAAGCAATTATGCCGAAATTAAACATGGCAATAATATTTTACTTTTGCCAGAACCTAACCAGTTAGTGTATGTGTTGACTTCAACCGGGTTAATCTTAATGTTCGTACCGTTCAAAGTAGAAACATAAGTGTTTGTACAAAAACGATAAAAGTTGGGGCAAAAAAAAAAATGAAATGTTGTGTTCCTCCTTGCAGCGTTCAAATAATTAAGTTTATAACGTCTAACACGAACATTAGACGACAAATTGATTAGTAATTGACTAAAAAAATTTAGTTAGTTCCACACATAATACCTAAATATTATTTTCTCAAGTGATCAATGTTTTTAATAGGTACTCATTTTGTTGTTAATTTCTTAAATTAAATGTAATTGCGGTGTAGGCAATTTACAAGGTTCCGCCGAAATAATAATAGGTACTTAATGCTTGTTATTTTTTTTTTTGTATATTGCATACACCACATTAAATTTGTAGTAGAATATATTTTATCGTTAAGGTCGAATATAGTTCAACGACATTATTAATAAAAAAAAGTATACCCTAAGCCACTTGAATGTTACACTAGCTAAAATACAACTGAAATTGCAAAAAGAACGGCGATTCGAATCAATCAAAACCCTGGCATTACCAAATACGGGCTAAATAACAAAAAATGCCCTACTATTGTACTATAAGATGAACCGTTATGGCTTATAGTAATAATGATGATAATAAATAATAATTTTATAGTGGAAACAGAGGGCAAAACAATGGGGATTAAACGGACGACTCGGATTACCGGAAAAGTAATAGACCTAATAAATAGGTGACAAAGGTTTTGGGGGCAAAATAAAATATATGGACAAAATATGTTATATTATAACTAAGGCGATAATAAATCTAATAATTTTCCAAGACTTCCCTCACTCTCATTCTTATTAGTGAGGTTCTGAGGTACCGCGGTTACCGTCGTCATAATACAAAAAATACAAAATAAACTCAAGTCTGTCAGATAAATATATTAGGTTTAATAAAATATCGTTATTATTAGCATTATTACAACAACAGACCTCGGCCGCAGGGCTTAAAATCTTTGGCGGTAGGTATAAAAATTATTGATGAGAATTAATCGTTAAGGATTACAACTGAAAAAAGAAATCTGCCATCTACGTTCATCTACTTTCATCTCGTTTTTATATTCATTAATATGATGAATAATATAAACATTTTTTTTTGAAATATTACATCGTCGTTTTTGGTAAAAAAAAACCATTTTTTTCCGCCATCAATTCCCGTCTGCTAATATCAAGATATTTTTAACCCAAAAGATGACATCAAATTTGTTTGGTCAAAAAACAAAAATGATACAAAATAAATTTCAATTTTTTAGCGGGAAATTGTTTGCAAACATTAAATATTTTGAACAAATTTAGCTTAGCATCTTGTTGAATGGTTAACATTTTTTTTTTGGTGATTAAGTATATTGAAGATTTTATTGGTAGGATTTACTTTGGAAGTCAAAAGTAAATATTGTTATGTTTTTAGATAAGGACATGGCAAAAGTACTAACAATGAACACGGGTACGACCAGCAAAATAAATCTGACATAGTTTCGAGTGTAAGCAAATTGTTTGGGGGCCCTTGACTGCGCACACAGGTGTGTGTTTTGTTCTAAACTATATTATTACTTTCCGGTGGAAAATGAAAAAACACAAGCACAGCCAAAAAACAATAGGACCGGGAAAGGATTGGCCGGCCAACTACGGTTGTAACTCTTGACTCGGGACACCCTTGGGGCCGATACGGGATGAATATTTGACAAAGTTCGTATCCCCCGAGGTTGGCGTTTACTGTAATAATCGTGGACACAGGACGAATCAGTGCCGATTGCCCCGAAAACCCGGTAGAACCGTGGCCGAGTGGTCAGGGGTAGTGGAGGGGTAGGACCGAAGAGTATACAAAGTCGACAAGCTTAGATATAGAGCTAACATTTTGGCCCTGCCCCGGTTCAGTGTCTGAGGTAAAATATGATTGCGAAAAAAATAAAGAATACCTACAGAATATCGTTAAGGTCACACAGCGGTGCTGCAACGCACTTCATTTTAGCGGTTTTATATACCGAAATTCCTGAAAATAAATTACCGACGGCTTTAGCATCGGCCCCTTTGTGTTCAGGACACATTTTCTACTTAACGTTTCAAAGTGTATTTTGCCGGAATACCGTCCGGGATCCTCAGGGCCAATAGTATTAGAATAACTTACCGATTAATGCACAACGATCGCTTAACTTACCCAAACGGTATTAAACTGGGAGTGTCTTAAAATCCTCACTTTTTCTCTCGAGTAAAATTTAATTATACCATTTTTAATTTTCGCCACTTAAAATTTTCTCACATTTAACATTAACTCAGCTGTTGTTTTGTAACACATTACAGCTGGTTCTTCGGACATAAGTTTCCATTCGGTTCCCAAACGAACGTGACCGAAGTTTGTGTGATTGGAAAGTTTACCGGACGTGCAGATTTTCTTGAAAATTAACTTTTCAATCAAACGTTATACTTCGGTATTTCTCGCAACGAGTTTTCAGTGGTTTCCATTGTGGCGACCGCCACTTAATCTGTTGTAAAATAATTTACATGCATAATCAGGCAACGGCAAGTACTAGGTTTTAATTGGAAAATTCTTAAATGGACAAAATATACAAAACTGTAATGGATTAAATCAGCTGTTGTGTTTGCGGAACAACGATTCAGGAATATTATACACAGAAAATTGGTTTTCTAAAATTAGATGTTTGTAATGTAATTCAAAAAATTAAATTTCCGTTTGAACGTGAATTACTACTAAGCTCTTAAAAAAAAAGACATGAATCTTTTTTCTCGGTGATCATTTTTCTGGTGGATTTATTTTTCAAGAAATGTATTTTAATTTAATAAATCACCTGGTGCACACGCGTGTAGGTAAAGTGAACAATTAAATAGAGTCACGGCCAACCACATTGAGAGTGGCAAAGTAATGAGAGTAACATTCCGGTAGAAAGCCGTGTCGAAAGGGTCGCAAAGTGATTAAAAAAATATCCTAGTTCGGTGCAGACGATGGTTTGTTAATTAATTGCAAAAAGAGAGGCAAATAATCTATAGTAATTATTGAGAAAAAAAAAAAACTCGGCGATGGGAAAACGTTCAAGTCATTTTTATTACAACCTAACCATGGACGTCGGTGACTTATGAATTATTATCAGACAGGCCGCAAAACCGGCAATCTTAACAGTTTTTTTTATGATAGCAGATTAAGCATCACTCTATCCAACAATCAACCAAATTTTAAGACACATGTTTTTATTTTTTTTGTAACATTTTTTAAAAAAAAGTTCAGGATAGCCATTTTATTAAGAATAATTTGCTGAAAATTTTTACTGGTCGATAGCCAGATTTGGATAATTAATTTTTAAGTTACTTAAGGTTAAAGGGTAGGATGGGAGGTGGAGTGTGGTAGAGTAATGAGTGCAGATAAAAATAGCTCTACGCGCTTACTCTACCGCACTCTACCTCCCATTGCCTGTTTTTCACAGCGATTATTGTAATGTAAGCAAATGGTAAGTTGTTATAGGTATCACAAACTTTGAATATTATATGAATCTCAGTATTTTACAAAAAAAAGGTGTTTTTCTTAGCATATTTTGTTTTGCAGCTGTTTTTGTATTTACATGTTTGACCTATTTTATTTCTTACGCGATAGAATCTCGATGTATCTATAATAATTATATATATTAATTTTAAAGATTTAGTACAGTAGTAAGTAGTAGGTAGTTTTTGTACAGTTGTTGGTCACTAATGTATATAACAACCGTTTTTGTGAAAAACAACTTGTTTTTGATAAGATGGAAAATAAATTTATAGAAATAGTTAAAAAAATAGGCTAAAAAAATGTATGACGCAAGTTGAATGCATATAAAATCGACGAAGTACTATGGAAACTAAGAATTTTTAAGAGTAAAGAGCTGTAATTTTAGTATTACTTTTACTTAAGCAACAATAATATTTTATCATGTTATTTAAACATATCCTTCTAGGATAAAAAAAAATTAATGATTAAATTGTAAAAATGAAAAAGATTTAGTTCGTGTGATGATATGTTTGTTTAAACCATTAATTTTTTCCATTTTACTTTGATGGATACAAATTAGTCCTATAATTTACTCTTTTGTATGATATTATGTTAATAACTTAAAAGTTTATAATCCAACCTAATATTAAATCAATAGATCTATTACGACTTTATAATTTACTTGAAAAATCTACTTATTTTTAACTTTAATACCAAAAGGAATTTTATAAAATATGCAGTTGTATACACTTAAAACTAGGTCACAAACATAAAACATGGTGCGAAAACACTGTTTTAATGTTTAAATAAGTTAACAATAAAGATACAATAACAAAATAGCAAAAAAACATTTTCATTTACTAGCTGGTCTCGAACAAAAGCCACGTATATATTTTTAATTATGTTTTCAAAAAATATTATATTACTTTTGTGTGTCGTAAGTTTTAAAGCGGATGATGGTCCCACTTGGGTGGTATGTATCAAAAATTCAAAAATATTAATCAAACGCTTACTGTAAACATGTCTTAAATAACATAAAATTCTATTGCCGTAAAAATATATAAACGGTAACTTTTTTCTGATATAAATTATAATGATTATTGTATAAAGAACATTGTAAGCAGAGTGGTGCAAATTGTTATTCGATTAATTGGAATTACAATTTTTTCGAATAATTAATTTTGAAATTCGATTTTTTGATTATTAGAATGGTTATTAAATGATTAAAAGCACCAAATAAACACATCAAAATCTGAAAATATATCATTCGATTTGTTATAAATATAAAAAATAAACACTTTATGCTTTTCTTAAATTTTTTTAACGTTTGTATTTAGCATAAACTAGATGTTTTGAGGTAACCCTAAGTTTAAATTTAAGTTTTTAGTGCAAAAAGTTATGTTTTCTTTTCTTCATACAATTTTAAATCTTTTAACTTTTCAACATAACTTATTTCCCTTTCTTAATAAAATGATTCCCAGAAAATTAACTTTACATATAATTCTAGAGTAGAAATCCATTTCTGTACAACTCAAATACGGATTGGAAGAAAATATATGACAAATATGACAGCCTGAAAGTAGGTTTAATCTCCGCAACGGAATTACAGAAATTATTATATGAAGAGTTCCAAGTATTTCTCACCATTCGCCAAGCAAATGAATATACATATTTAATTAATTTAAAGAGTAATAAAAAATAAGCCATATGCTAAGAAATATTCATTCAACAAGTGCCTTAATTATTTTCAGAAAACTATGAAATAGGATTGAAACAGGTGAAAAAAATGAGACCGATAATAATTATTTTGTCACTGGTTTGTACAGTTTTTTTTGTTACTGTATAGGCTGATCTATTTATTAAAATTTGCTGTTTTTACAATTATTATATTATTACTGTGTAAAATTGTAAAATACCTAAGATCTACCAACTTTAGAAATTATGATGATTTTGAAAATATGCTTATAACATTTTATTATGAAGGTAATTAACTTAAAATTCTAGGATTTTGTAAGTTATGATGCTTTCAGTCGAATTTATCTCAACCTCATTGAACTTGATATTTGGTTTGATTGTCACTGAAAGTTTTGATATCCAACTATATATGTTGGATATTTTGTACCATAAACCATACAAATATTTAAAATAAACATTATAGAAAGTCAAACCAAATTTTAAGTTGACGAATGGTTAATGAACACTTTCTTAAAAAAATCTTTCCATAAATAATTATTAATCAGAAAAAATGTTAACCAGTCACCATTTAAGTTTCAACTGTCGATAGATTACCAGGAAAAGTACAGATTTAAGTGTGGTTTTAAATTGTAGAAAACAATAGCTTAAGGTTTACTATCCTTAATGAATTATCCTTTACAAAAATATTTGCATCTAAGCCATACCAAAAAAAGTCATTTTAAATTGAAACAATAAACAGGGTGATTCCTTTATTATGAACCACTAATATCTTATAGGTTCTACTTATTGTTGTTATACAATGTGATCTAAATTTTTCAAAATTTTTTTTGTTTTTACCCCCTCCTAAAGCAGTTTTTTAATAGCTATTTTTAAAACTTAAATGGTAACATATACATTTTGTTGACTTTTTAAGTTGAGAATAATGTACTAAAGATTTTGACTGGTCGATAACCAGTTTCGGATAACTGTCTTTGAAGTTATTGAAGTTTCAAGTTTAGGGCAGAAGGAAAGGTGGAGCGTAGCATTATATTTATCTGCACGCCTTTCCCTACTGCACTGCCCCCCAACCTTAATTTAAAACATTACCATTTAAGTTTAAAAAGTTGCTATCAAAAAAACTAATTTGGAACGGCGGTAAAACAAAAAAAAATGTGAAAAATTGACATCACATTGAATAACAACAACATGAAAAAAAAAAATGTAATTTCTTATTAACCCTATGAGATATTGAGTGGTTCATGATAAAAGAATCATACTTTATGCTTGTCATCATTTTTTAAGAGAGAAACCAGAAAGGAGGATGATAATTCTATTGTAAACTATTATCTGTCGAGAGAAGTTTTCGTCGAAAAAATAGCGAGTTTTTTTACAGAACTGTTTTTAGACAAGAAAGAAGTTTTAGAAGTGCTCAAAGTTGTCGGCCATAATGGTAGTAAACTACTTGACTATGTATTAAATTTTATTTTTAAATTATCTACAATCTGTTTTTAGATAAATTACCAATTAAATCGAAGGAGTACCTCAAAATTATAAACATGTTGACGGCTTCGCTACGGGTTGGTAGTTTTAATTCTAATAATATTTTTACTTTATTAGTATGATTGATCATAATACCAGGTGGAAAGATGATATTAAAACTCTGTCCTCAGAAAATTAGCAGTAATACTCATTAAAAATATTATTTAAACATGTTTATCTTAGATAAAAAAAATATAATTAAAAAAAAAAAAATTTTCTTTTAGTACTTTTTTTATAACATTTTTTTATCAGAAATTTTTTGAAATTTTTATCGTTTTTTATTTTGTCTCTAGAGCAAACTTATAAGTTTTAAAGTATTTAAATGTAATTTTAAAACGACATTTGTTTTGTTTTGCCATTCAAATGGCACGGGAGACTGAAATTGTTAATCATATTCTTCTAAGATAAAAAAGCAAAATATCATATTTCGTTCTCTATAATTATTGATGAATATAAAACTTTCAGAAAATGTTTTAACTATATCTGCCGTCAAGTTTTTCATTTTCGTATCGAATTGTACTTTTAATATATCATTTATTTATTTAGTACTAAAATATATTAATATTTAAGTATGTTGTACAAGAGTTGATTCACGTATGCATTTAATCATATCGAATAATAAATACACATTTTATGTTATAACATATAATAGAATAACGTGTTTGTTAAAACTTCTAGATGACTCGTATACACAATAATTTCAAAACTAACGGTAAATAGTTGAAATCAACGTTGTAGTCGTCATTTTTATTGATTAACATTTACATTTTTCCAGGCGACCCTAATGTTGATTTCCTTCAATATATAAGTGAACATTGGATGGCCAAAGATAATTATTCGTGTTCCATACCTAATCTCGAGTATCGGCACATAATTGTAATTGGCCATTTAAAAATATAACATTTTGAATAGATACAAATGATTGAAAATTTACTTTACATATAATTCTAGAATATAAATCCAAATCTAAATAACATGTCACCAAATAAATGGAAGAAGATTTTTAACCAATACAAAAGCGACAATGATGGTTTAATCTCCGAAACGCAATTACAGAAGTTATTATACGAAGTGTTCCACGTATTTCTCACTATTCGCATTGCAAGGAAATATATAGGGGCACTTATATCCGATACCCCTATACCTGAGGGTAAGAACAAAAAATCCATATTCTATGAAATATTCATTCAACAAGTGCCCTAATTATTTTCAGAAAGCCGTAATATCGGACTGAGCCTATTGAAAAAAATGAGACCGATAATATTTGTTTTGTCACAGGTTTGTTCAGTCTTTTTTGTTACAGTAGAGTTAAATAGCACTGTATAATACAAAAATGCTAACAATGTCTATACTGTTTATAATATATTATGATTGGAGTAATTAGCTTTAAATGTTTAAAGGTTGATTATACTTAAAACTCTAGAATTTTCTTAGTTTTGATGTGTGCAGTCGAGTTTACCTAAATCTCTTAGAACTTGATATTTGTTTTAGTTGTGACTGATTGTTTAAATATCTAACTGTATATGTTGATATGGCCTGGATTTATTTTATAAATACGTAAACTGCCTCTCGGGATTTTAATATCATTCGGGTGACTTAAGTTAAATTTACTACATCGTGATTTTTCTTCATTTTTTGAGTAAATCCAAAATTTGAATTTGGCAACGTCCTGTAAACCTAGGATATTTTGTTTTTATAGGAGGGATTGAATGCCTATTATTCGGTGACCTGCCGTACGATAGAAACGGGGTGCAGTTAGAAACAGTCATAGTTGACGATATGTTCACTAGGCCATCTAAAATTTTCCATTCTGAATTAAAAAATCAGTCTTACGTTCCTCTAGTTTATATTTTACTACCTTCAAAGACTACACAATGCTTTTTATTTTGTTATAGAGTGCAAAAAAAATAACTTACAATTCAATTCAATTACACGGAAAAAAATACATAGTTGGTCCAACTAAAATTATGGTTAATCTAGAGACACAATACATTTCTAGTTGAAATGACTAAATAAATAGTTGGCCCAACTAACTGTATAGTTGATTTCACTAAAAATTTACAACTATGTTTTTTTTTTCCGTGTATGTTCACACAATATACCTAGGCCGCAATTGTATAAAATAAACTCAGGCCGCAATTTACCGCAATATATAAAATATATTAGGGCTGTAATTTGCAGCGACCCGTAGGTTACTATTTAAGTTTCAACAATTGATATATTACCAGGAAAAGTACAGATTTGAATTTGATTTACAATTGTAAAAAAAAACAATAACTACAACGTCCCACAAAGAAAAAACGTACAAAAACTATTATCCTTAATTAATTAACCTTTACAAAAATACTTACATTTAAGCCTTACCAAAAGAATCATTATTAAATTAAAATATTATACGCTTCTTATATTTTTTTTTAGAGAGAAGAGGAGATTGGAAATAATGACATGTCGACAGAAGTTTTCTTGGACGTTATAGCAAGTTTTTTTTCGGAAATGTTCTTAGACAAGAAAGAAGTTTTAGAAGTACTCAAAGTTTTCGGCCATGACGGTAGTATATAACTTTACTATTTATTGAAACTTGTATTTTAATTATCTACAAATTGATTATAGAAAATTTACCAATTAAATTGACGGAGTACCACGAAATAATAAAAATGTTGACAGCTTCGCTACAGGTCGGTAGTTATAATTCTAATATTATTTTTACTATAATAGTACGATTGATTATAACACCAAGATGATATTCATAGTTTGTCCTCG